ACCGAACGCTAGGACCGAACGCGCAGGTGCTCTAGTCATTTTTTGCGCCAACGTCCGGTTACAGACCTTTCAGCGCTAAAACGGCTATAACTCTTAGCTCCGAACTCCAATTTCGATGATCTTGGACATTTTGGAAAGCTTACTCAGAGGGATACACATCCCACATGCATACTTGATCCAAATCACAATGGATCAAAGTAGTATTCCAATCCAAGGACCATCCTATAGTTCGGAGTACACCGAAAAACCTTTTTCTCTTCTCTAAGTTGATTCACAACAACTCTAACTTCTTCTCCTTTGCAAATGTACCAACACCACCATGTGTATATGTGTTAGCTTTTCACAAACATTTTCCAAAGGATTAGTCACCCAACTTGCCACGCCACTCGATCCTAGCGATGATGCAAATTTAGATCACTCGAGTGGCACTATATGACCGATATGAAAACAAGTTTGCCCATCTTGATAGTATGGCCATCTATCCTAAACCCGGTCATCAACTTCTCTACACACCTATGACCGGTGAAATAAAATGCCCTAGGTTATACCTTTGCCTTGCACATTTCATTCCATCTCCTCCAATGTCGATGCAACACATGCACCAACATGATCAACAATGATATGATCCACTTCATATCATCACGTGATCATATTGGTTCATTGATCTTGACTTCACTTTCTTTTCACCGTTGCCTTCGTCCATCAGCACTAAGTCTTGCTCAAGCTTCACCGCTACGCGGTCCATCGCTCCAAAGCCTCCGACTTGCCCTTCACGCTTGCAACCGGTCCATCAAGCCAAGTCTTGTCTTGATCTTCTCCACCTTGATCACATGACTCAATGTCATGTCTCAAGTGCAATAAGCTCCTTCATCATCACATGTGTGAGCTTTGCAACATCTTCAAACCATTTTCACCTTCATGGCATATGTTGCTCACACATATGTACCTGTGGACTAATCACCTGTGTATCTCACATAAATACAATTAGTCCACCTAGGTTGTCACTCAATTACCAAAACCATACAATGACCTTTCACCCACGCTCGCTCATTTTGCGCGCCCAGGCAAGGCCTGTGTCGCCCGACCACACGCGGGCGCCTGCTCGGCGGCGCCCCAGTAGCTCTAGCAGACGGCTGCGGTAGGTGGGTCCCATTCAACATGTGCAATATCCGATCTACTTTTGGAACATCCAAATGAAACACTTGCAACATACTTCCAAAACAGCTGAAACACTTGTAACATATGTCAGAAACACTTGCAAAACACCAGAAAAAAACTTGAAAGCATGTGTGTAGCCATTGCAAAACATTGCAACATCCAGATGAAAATACTTGCAACATAAGTATGAAAACACCCGAAACACTTGCATATATATGCAACATCTAGATCTACTTTTGCAACTTCCGGATGAAATACTTGCAACATACGTTTGAAATAGATGAAACATTAGGAACATACACTTGTTAACATACATCTATAGCCCTTGCAACATGTGCAACATCTCGATCTACTTTTGCAACATCCACATAAAACACTTGCAACATACCTCTGAAACATATAAAACATTTGAAAGATACATTTACAACGTGTGATGTATCCTGCTGCTTGTAGCGGCCCAATTTTTTTTCAATTTGGCCCTTTTTAAGAAAATTTACGTTTGGCCCCCTAGGTGACGTAAACTGATCTTTGGACCCTGGGGGTCGGTGCCAGAACACATGGCTCCAAGGTAACACGTCTCGGCGCCACTACCTATGGCGCTGAGGTGCCTGGCCACGCACAGCATGGTAACCGAGGTGGCGCTAACGTGGCAGGTATCTCGGAGCCATAGATCTTGGCGCCGAGCTCGGAGCAAAGATCTGTGGCGCCGAGCTCGGAGCCATGGAGCTTGGCGCCGACCTCGGAGCCATGGATCTTGGCGTCGAGCATGGATTCAAAAACCACAGCCAAGTTTCCCTGGATGAGGCTGCTTTCATTTGTTCCTCCTCCCTCTCGGTTTTTGCTCTCCCCAACCCTCCTAATCTCTTAAATCGATGAATTTAACCTTGGAAACTTGGATTTGATCCATTGATCTTCGCGAGCAAGGTATTCTCTCTCCCCTCATCATTTTTTACGCATTGATTTGGTATATATTATGTTTATTTTGCAACCATAGATACGTTATTACTTAGTGTTTGAAGTGATTTTTATTTTTTGTATTATGTAACGGTAGGATGCCAAGGCGTGGTAAAGCTAGTAAGCTAAGGTAATCTTTTATCATCGTGTTATATTATGGTTTCATATATGTGCAATAAATGGAAAACCCTAGGTTTAGGGTTTAATGTTCATTGCTTTCGGTTCTTAGAACAAAATTGGTTCAATTGTAGTTATGGTCGGATGACCAGAAATGCCTTCGACCCATTGCCTCTTCCTAGTGGTATTCCAATGCCCATGTGCTTTTGCAGTGATCCTTGCAAGGTAGCCAAGTCCGATGAAGAGGACACATATAGGCAGAGGTATTGGATGTGCGCCAATTTTCGTTTCAGCCTACACTTCGTCAGCGTCGCATTAACAAGATGGTGAGAAATTGATGTTGTGTATTAATTATTTTGTGTCATATGAAATCATGCATGATTTATTTGTTGTGTAACAATTGCATGTATTGTAGACCCCTCCACCGCTCTGTGATTTTGAGCAGTAGATCGACACTGAGATCAAGCCAGAAGACAAGGAGAGGATGCAGAACTGTTGCGGTGGGAGGCAGAGGACAAAGAGATGATGGAGAAGAAACGTAGAGAGAAGGCTGCGGAAAAGGAGCACAAGGAAAAGGAGGAAAGGAGGCGTGTTGCTGCATATAGGGAGGAGAGGGACAAGAAACTTGAGCGTGCGCGCAGAGCGCAAGCAGTGATGGAGGAGAATCCTGATTCCCTGAGTAAGGGAAAGTGGCCTTGTTGCACTCAGTAGTCTGTATGATTTGCTAGTTCTATGGTTTATTCATGAACAATGTTGTTTAGTCTTGCACTTTGCATTGTGTTGTCATATAATGCACTTTAAGTATGGACGTACTTAGGCCATGTACTGCGTAATTTAGTTTGTCGGCATGTACTTCTATTGGTAATGTGTTGTTTAATATGCCATATTATTGGTCATTTCATTGTGTTGTTGTTTTCATTATTTATGGTCATAATATTTAGTTTAATATTGTGGAGCTAGTAAAACGAGTTCACGTACTTCAAATGAAACCTAACAAAGTAGTGCATTGCATAATTCAACATGCACAACAAGCACACGAAATGGCAAGTGAGAACATGTACCAAATAAGGGTACACAGTTCCTTTGACTAAACCTAACGTGCCTTAGGTAATTAAACCAAACAACAAACACATGGATGTGGCATGTGAATAAGATAGGTTCGTTCTAGTAGTGTGGCCACATAGCAAATTGTGTTGCACCTTCTCCATAGTAGCCCTCGCCGCCGGTGCGCGCTGAGGATGACGGTGGGGCGACGAGGGCGGCAGAGGGAGCGGACGGGGGCACAAGGGAGCGAATAGGCGCGCGGGGAACGTCGGGCAGTGGCCTGCTGCGGTGGCACGGGCGGTGGCCGGCGGAGGAGGCACGAGCGGCTTGACAGCGGTGGCGGGCAAGTTGGCGGCGGGGAGAGAGGGAGAGAAAGAGTGCGAGAGAGAGGGAGAGACAGAGGGGCTTCTGCCTGTGTAGGTTTAGGTCGGCGCCATAGATCTTGGCTCCGTGGTTAGCGCCACAGATCTTGGCTCCGAGGTCGGTGCCAAGATCTGTGGCTCTGAGCTCGACGTCAAGATCTGTGGCTCCAACCTACCAGCCACGTCAGCGCCACCTCGGTTGCCATGCTGTGCGCGGCTAGGCACCTTGGCACCATAGGTTGTGGCGCCGAGACGTGTTACATCAGAGCCACGTGTTCTAGTGCCGATCCCAGGGTTCAAATATTAGTTTACATCACTCAGGGGGTCAAACATAAATTTTCTTAAAAAGGGCCAAATTGAAAAATGGGCTTGTAGCGGCGCTGCAGCCGTAGTAGGAGTGTGAGGCCGAAGGGCTTCCACACTAGGGCCTGATGCTTCTCCTTGCGCCGATGGCACCTGTTGGCGTTGTGGGGCGAAGAGCATCTGTGCTGACACGCCTCGGTGGCAATCAAGCGGCGAGGAATGTGGCGGTGTCCACGCCACAAAGTGGGCAAAGCATGAGCAGAGGCGAGCAACAGCGGAATGGAGGTCCGACTAGCGTGGGGGGCTTGAGCGGTGGAGGTGGCAGCAATAGAGTGTTGGGAAGGAAAGAAAGGAAACGCCATGGATGATGGATAAAGTAGCAAGAATGTCTCCTTTTCTTATTCTTATCCAGCCGGCGTAATGGAAGGATGGATGGATGGGGGATAATAACAAAAAAGGAGGCATGCCGTGCGGTGTAGTTGCAAGCCTAGAAAGGTCTATCCAGACGCTCTGCACACACCATCACCGAGGTGAAAAAGGCCAAACCATGACTTTCTAAAATTAGCATCGACAGCTGACTGGACCAGGTTCAAGACTACGACCGGGTCAAACCAAGCGAGAAATTAAAAAGCCAAAATAAAGAATAAAAATATTTAAGATCTAGTTGAAGAATCTGCTGCAGGAACTTTTTCATAAAAACTTTTATATTAAAAAAAGACTCGCGGAGTTGCTCAAATTTCCCTTCCGTGTCCGACCAGATTTTGCAAAGCAACCCCTAAAAAAAGATTTTGCAAAGCAAACGACCCCGGAGTCCAGACGACAACTTCAGAGTGGGACCCAAACTCGAACCCAACCAGATCCCCCAAACCCATAAGCCACTCAAGCAAGCAGCGACTCCGTCCGCGCACGGCACCTACCCGTCCCCCTCCCCGCACGGTCGCACACCACCACCACCGCGCAAGTCGCCTTGCCGTCTCGCCGCCTCGTCGAGTTATTAGAGGGCGGGGGAAAAAGATCAACGCGAACGGCCGGGTGGCAACCTACCACCGCACGGCGAGGGCGATGGCTTCGTCCCCGCCGCGGAGGCGCCTCCCTGCTGCGCACCTCCTCTTCGCCCTCTTTCTGGCGATGTCCGCCGTGCTGCCGCGGGGCGCCGGGGCGGTGGAACTTGGGCTGAAGCTGCCATTCAGCCCGGGGGACGTGCTCCCCGTCCTGCCGCGGCAGGTGGCGTGGCCCGTCATGAACACGCTCCACAGCGCCGTCGACCTTCTGCCGTCCTTCGTCGCCGCCGTGGCGCCCGGGGCGCCGGCGCCGGTGGTCTGGAGCGGCGCGTGCTTCGCGGAGAACGAGGCCGCTATCGAGCTCACGCCCGGGGACCGCAACGGGACCGACGTCGGCGGCGCCGTCCTGCGCCTCAAGGTCCCCCTCCCTGCCTCTTGACCCTTGTTTTCTTGTTCTGGAAATAGGGTCGCGTTAGCTTCCATGATTTGTTTGAATTGGGCGGAATTGCTTTGGGTATTCTGTTTGCGATCTAGTGAAGTATAAGCGTACGTAGTGTTGGGCTGTTGGCAACTGTTGATTTGAGGTGGTGATACGGGCAATCACTTCATACGTGTTGATTGTGTTGAGAACAATTTAGTTGGGAGTTGGGACCGTGATAAATAGCTCAAGTTCCTTCGTAAACATGGCTTCATTATAATGTTAAGATCGGGAGTGTTGGGCGATACTCAATTGTCAACCTATGGGGGGGGTGGGATGATGTTTTATAAATCATAACTCAAGACTCGATATAGTTTTTGTTGTGTGGATGTGATTGAGTGCTACTGGGGTAGTAAAGCTGCTGAGCTCTTGTACCATGTAATGTAAGCATTAGTTCTCTTTTGGTTGGGCTAGAGAATATTTATGATTTTTGTGGCAAATTCTTGCTTCATTTGTTCATCTTAAGGCTATATTGATAATGGAACCTGCATTTTTCTTTCTTGTCTCCTTTTTAGACAGATTTCTCTTGTTAGGCCCAAATATTCTTAGCTTTCTAATGAGCTTCCAATTTATTTCATTTGATGACCAGTCCTCGAACATTGAGGAATCAGATTGACTTTGTTGTTTCGTTACAGTCATATGAAACCATTTAACCATTTATCATACCATAAATGCTGCAACAATCTACATTTCCTGCCATCTCGGAAGTTTAAACTGGCACGTGCTTGTTAGATAAACAATGGCCAACATAGTTAATGGTGCACCTCGTGACATTATCAAGCCCGAATCCCTACCATTTATTTAGATTGGTCGTTCTATATATGATCAAGGTCATTTACATAAGTGAAGTTGTTTTTCCTTTGTTTTTGCAGACTGCTTCAGCTCATAGTTGGACATGCATGGATCTCTATGTTTTTGCAACACCATATAGGATAACATGGGACTATTATTTTGCTGCTCGGGATCACACTTTGGAGATTAAATCATGGGAGGAAGAAGCGGAATTGGAATATGTGTGTTTTCCTTCTGTCATTTCCCTTTTGTTTTAACGGTTTGCTATCCCCTCATATTTATCTCAGCAGTCTAATACTTCAAGTTTGTGATCAGGTGAAGGAGCATGGCATTTCTGTTTTTCTCATGCCATCTGGAATGCTTGGAACTTTGCTATCTTTGATTGATGTCCTGCCTTTGTTTTCAAACACTGCCTGGGGCCAACATTCCAACTTGGCCTTTTTAGAGAAGCATATGGGAGCCTCATTTGAGAAACGTTCCCAGCCTTGGGTTGCTAATATTAGAAAGGAGGATATACAATCTGGCGACTTTTTGGCTCTATCAAAGATTCGAGGACGATGGGGCGGGTTCGAGACATTAGAGAAATGGGTGACTGGTGCATTTGCTGGGCATACCTCGGTTTGCTTAAAAGACGAGAAGGGTGATCTTTGGGTTGCAGAGTCAGGCTATGAAAACGAGAAGGTAATTCATAGATTGAATCTCTTGGTTAATTAAATTTGCTCTTGTCAGCATGATTCATGTCACCATATAACTTTTTTCATGTGTTTAATTATTATTCTTTGTTTTAATCATGATCAACAATCATATAATCAGTTCCACTGGTATTCTGCTAAATTACATGGTCTAAGCTGTAACCCAATTGAACCTTTTACTCATCCCTTTGAGTTGAGCTAAGCCGACTTGAACAACAACAACAACAACATAACCTTTCAGTCCCAAGCAAGTTGGAGTAGGCTAGAGTTGAAACCCACCAAGAGCCCCAAGTCATGGTTCAAGCACTTCAATAGCTGCTTTCCAAGCACTCCTATTCAAACATAGATATCTAGATATATCCCAAGCTTTCAAATATCTTTTTATGGTCTCTCCCCATATCAATTTTGGTTTTCCTCTATCTCTCCTCATACTATTAGCTTGGCTTAGGACTCCACAATGCACTGGTGCCTCTGGAGGTCTCCTTTGGACATGGCCAAACCACCTCAACCGATGTTGGACAAGCTTTTCTTTAATTGGTGCTACGCCTAGGCGATCACGTATATCATCGTTCCGAACTCGGTCCATTCTTGTGTGACCACAAATCCATCGCAACATACGTATTTCTGCAACACTCAGTTGTTGAACATGTCGAATCTTTGTAGGCCAACATTCTGCTCCATACAACATAGCCGATCTAATCGCCGGTCTATAAAACTTGCCTATTAGCTTTTGTGGTACCGTCTTGTCACCAAAAGGTATCCTTCATAGGCACTACTTGACCTTCCAAACTCACATCTCCCTCCTCCTGTAGCAGCTCCACCAAAGTCACATCTTATGTATTCGGTTTTAGTTGTACTCAATCTAAAATCTTTAGACTCAAGGGTCTGCCGCCATAACTCTAGTTTCCTATTTACTCTCGCCTGAGCCGACTTGAACATTCAAAATTATTGTCGAGGATGCCTTTTTGTAGCTTCTTGTGTTTGTTGGGTTGATTTCACTACACGTACTACTTTGCTCTTATTTAAGGGATTTTCTTGTCTTTTTGGTATCTTTTTTCAGTCCGTTGTAAATATTAGAGTTATTGTCTGATTGTCTCAGGCATTGGGTGCAAGGCACCATTAGCTGAAATAGTTATATTTTGTGCTGAGAATTTTATGCATTTTATTCTGGTGAGTGGTGAAATCACTTGGTTGTGAGATTTCTTGACAATAATCAATTGCAAATTAATAGGGAGAAGAAATCATTGCCATAGTTCCTTGGGATGAGTGGTGGGCCATGGCCCTCAAGGATGAATCAAATCCTCAGATAGCCCTGCTTCCTTTGCACTCTGATGTACGTGCCAGATTCAACGAAAGTGCTGCATGGGAATATGCCCGGAGCATGGTTGGAAAGCCTTATGGCTATCATAACATGATATTTAGCTGGATTGATACAATAGGAGATAATTATCCACCTCCCCTTGATGCTAACCTGGTAATTCTTATCAATCTTTGGGAAACTTAAATTGAGGCTTTATGCATGATTTATCTTATGTCACCCTAATTTTGTCAAACAATGTTTACAGGTAATGGCAGTCATGTCAATGTGGACTAGATTGCAGCCAGTTTATGCTGCAAACATGTGGAATGAAGCCCTAAACAAACGACTTGGCACTGAGGTTTGTAGATTATTGTTAATCTCCCTCATTGGGTACTGGATATTCACAAGATTATTTTGATTCAAGCTAGTTTAAGGTTAAAACAATGCTGAATTTCTGTTAAACCTGTGTTTTTTTAGTGGGATTCTTTTCAGATATTTTTGTACCTATTTAGTTAGAATAATTTACATGCCTTTACTGCAACCAACTTCCGGGTTTGATAATGGCTTGGCCTATGGTATGGTTAGGGCAGCTCAATGATGATGTATCAGCTAGCTTTAGTGTATCGATCGCAGGTTCTTGCAGGGAGTGAGAAAAGCTAGCTCTTCGTCAAGCTCTAGTCTAGAGCAGAAATCAAGGGACTCATTGGCCACCCACACCCATTCCCTCTCGCTACCATGTGGGGCCTACAGCAAACATGAAAATGTGCTGAAATTAGATTATTTACAGGGTAATATTTTATGCTATAACTATCTCTAGTTGACATGTTAGTGACACGTTGGCATTATAGCTAGCAATAGCAAGTAGCTATAACTGTTGGAGACACCTTTTTATTATGGGTAAACAGATATTGACTTGACTTTTGTTGGGTGCGCAATAGATTGAGTGTCATGCTCAAAAAAAGACTCAACCAGGGGGAGAGACGTCCCCCTGATTTTGTCCTTAAGAAGTTTGTACCAGCCTTCGAACCTTGGACTGGTGACAGGGGTTTCATTGACCCCCGGACTTCAACGGTCTAACCAGTGTAACCCAGGAGAAGTTGGTAGCGTTATTGCTCAAACTGATATGGGTTTTGTCAAAATGGAGAACTATATTTTGTATCTTGTTCACTCATGCTTTAGTTGTTACAGTTATGCTCAGTAATCAAATTTATAAGCATGTGTTCTTTTTTGTGTAGGGTTTGGACCTTCAGGGGATCATTATGGAGACTGAAAGACGTGGAATGTCTTTTGATCAGTTGCTCACCATACCCGAGCAAGACGAATGGGTATACAGTGATGGTAAATCAACTACTTGTGTTTCCTTCATTCTTGCAATGTACAAGGATGCTGGAATATTCGCCCCTTTTTCAGAGTCGATCCAGGTCACCGAGTTCACTGTAAGTGACATTTCATGCTTAGCCTCTCTCTCCATCATTCTTCTGGTTGATTGACGTGCATTACTAAGTCTAGTCTAACCTGCATCATTGGACTCTGCTTCTTCTGCCTCAGATTCGTGACGCATACATGCTCAAGATTTTTGAAGACAACCCGGCAAGGCTTCCAAGCTGGTGCAACACAGACATCGACAAGCTTCCCTTTTGCCAGATTCTCGGAGAGTACAGAATGGAGCTGCCAGAGTACAACTCGATTGAACCTTATGCGAAAATGAACGAGAACTGTCCGTCTTTACCCCCAACATACAAACGACCCGCACGCTGCTGACTATGAGATTGTCTTCTATGTATCGTTCTGCAGCTGCTGCGTTTACACAGTAGCAGTTGAGTGTTGTTGCTAAGTTGTTCTGTAAATAAAAGACACTGTATATATAGGTGTTTGGTTGATGGTAGTTGTTACCGGTAACATAGCTACGATGTATTCAGGTTCACGGTTTTCAGTCGATCAGTTCTGAAGCCACGGGGCCGGCGACCAATATGAAGGTTAGGATTTGGCCGCTCCGGAATTGCTTATATGTATATATAGGCAACATTGAACATTGTTACTTTGTCTGTGGACAATGTTCTTGGTTATAAAGTGTGAAACTCCGTCGAGGAATAAATCTACAATGCAACGTCATTTGATTCTGCTATATGACCTTACTGTCGTTGAATTGGTTAGCAAAGATTACTACTGACCAGCTCTGCTCCACAATAATTCGAATATTGACTTTATTATTCCATGTTTGATCTTCGAATATTTCTACCAATAGTGGTATCAAATGTATCACATGTAACTGCTTTTTTAGTAATAAATTTTATACGAGACTCTTCTCTAGTCGATACTTTTCTCGGAGGTTAGTGCTTTCGTTTCAAATTGTTCGTCTATCTCTGCCCTCTGGCACATACGGAGATTTAGGGTATATTTTGGCTTACCTGTGAGGTACGAAAAAACTGTTGTAAGCTATGTACTGTGAAAAATTATACTCCCCCAATTCTAAATTATAAAACGTTTTGACTTTTTTTTAGATACATAGTTTTTATATGCACTTAGATATATACCGAGACAAATGAGCCACCAATTCCTTTAGACCGGGAAAAAGAAACCTGCAACGTACTCCCAAACATATCCTTAATTTTGCTATCTACGGCTAAATTTATAAAAGATAGAGACAAGACAAAAAAGAAAACTCAAAGTAGGAGCATTTCTTCCTAAAGGACTCTCACAGCACAGCAGATTTATGATCAGACTAAGGACATGTTTAGATTCATTAACACTAAAAATTAATACTAGTGGATCCAAACAGACCTGCTAATTATTAGCTGGATGGATGCTAACTATTAGTTCCAATAGCAGGTTTAGAGTTGCTAATAGTTTATATATACCTTCAACTCTCTATTCAACCACATATTAGCAGCTATTACCAGGTGGATCCAAACACCTCCCTACTAAAAATTAGCTAGCTAAAAAATAGCAGCTATTAGCTATTACCAAGCTATTTTTTAGTGCTAATGGATCAAACAAGCCCTAATATAATGGGAGATACTAGCGCCCGGACGTCCGAACAAAAGCGCGTGTCCGGACGCCCGCGCCTCCTCCATCACGCACGCCCGCGAAAACGCTTCGCCCGCCGCTCCTTCCTCCTTACCCCCTCCTCTCTCTCCGCGAGCCCGGACGCCACGCCTCCTCCCCGTGCCCGCCGCTGCCCGCGCGCGCTCCTTCCCCCTGAACACCCTCCTCCCCCCGCACTGGCAGGACCCAGGAGTAGGGATGAGGATAACTAGACGAGCGTGCCCCGTCCGCACGACCCCAGGCGCGCCACACACCTCGACCACCGCCCCCCAGCACGCCCCATCCGTCGCCCTGGCTCGCCGCGCCCCATCCCCCGGTGCCCAGGCCGTGTCCCATACTTTTTACCTCTAAAATATGAAACATTTGGATGTAACATACATCTGAAGCAGATGAAATATTTGGAACATACACTTGAAACATATGTGTGAAACATATGCAGCATACAGATAAAACACTTGTAACTTGCAACATGAAAACACTTATTGCAACATAAGACTGAAACGGCTGAAACATTTCGAACATACTCTTGCGACATACATTTGTGAAATATATGTGTCGGGTTCATAAACCCGGGGTCCCTAATGGGCCGCTTCCCAGCAAAAGCTCAGCCCAGCAGACGACATTACAAACGACGCGCAACTCCTAGGCCGCCCCAGATACCTAACGACAGGCCGGAAGAGGCGATCCAGTCTCCGACCGGAAGGCCTGGCCAAGGAGGGGACAACACTCGCTTCCGACTCCAACCGAAAGGCCTGGCCAAGGAGGGGACGACGCTCGCTTCCGACTCTGACCCGCTTCTTCGACCGAGAATACACTAAACCTCTGCTTACGGCTCTTCTCCGACCGGCGCGGTCGGAGCCAACTGGGATAAGGTAAGGCGCTCAAGTCAAACCATAATACTGAGGACCGTACCCTACACACCTGCAGGACAGTACTGTCAGGCCATGCCAGAGGGGTACTTTGCAGCCTTCCAAACATGTCAGAACACAAACAGTGTTGTAGGCGTCCAACATTTGTCCTACAGTATGGTAGGCGCCAACATTTGCCATACCAGAAGAACATAATGGAGCCTACCACATGCATCTAGGCGTCAACAGTTATACTCATGAAGTGCATCCTTATCGACCAAGGGAAACAACTCCTCCTCGAGGTCCATGCCGAAATCTATGGACATCACGCGGCCCCGAGGTCGCTGGTCGGAAAAGCCTTTCGACAAGGTTTTTACTGGCCCACTGCGCTGCGAGAGGCAGAGGAGGTCGTCCGCAAGTGTGAGGGATGCCAGTTCTACGCTCAACAAACTCATTTGCCAGCACAGGAACTTCAAACCATCCCCATCACCTGGTCGTTCGTGGTCTGGGGCCTCGACATGGTAGGACCCCTCAAAAAGGGCCCGGGCGGCTTCACTCACCTACTCGTAGCAGTGGACAAATTCACCAAGTGGATAGAGGTGAAGCCCATCAGGGCCCGGGCGGCTTCACTCATCTACTCGTAGCAGTGGACAAATTCACCAAGTGGATAAAGGCGAAGCCCATCACCAACATTCGTTCGGAAGAGGCGGTCAAGTTCTTCCTTGACATCATCTACCGTTTCGGTGTTCCTAACTGTATCATCACTGACCATGGAACTAACTTCACTAGGAAGAAGTTCTTGGACTTCTGTGATGGATACGGCATCAGGATCGACTAAGCCTCGGTCGGACATCCACATACTAACGGTCAGGTCGAGCGGGCCAATGGCATGGTCCTCCAAGGACTCAAGCCATGCATCTTCGATCGACTCAATAAATACGCCGGGCGATGGGTTGCAGAGGTCCCAACGATCCTTTAGAGCTTGAGAACGACCCTGAACCAATCCACAGGGTTCACACCCTTCTTTCTGGCCTACGGAGCAGAAGCAGTGTTGCCCTCCGACCTCAACCACGGCGCCCCAAGAGTGAAGGCCTTCGACCACGATCGAGCTACGGAGGCTCAGCAGGACACGATTGACCTGCTCGAGGAGGCTCACGAGACAACCGTCATTCGCTCGGCTCGCTATCAGCAAACTCTCCGTAGGTACCATGAAAAAAAATCGAGGGAGGATCCTCGAGGTTGGAGACCTCATGCTCCGAAGAACCCAGTCAACCAAGGAGAAACACAAACTCTCTCCACCTTGGAAAGGACCCTATACGGTGACCGAGGTGGTCCGACTGGGCGTCTACCTACTGAAGGACGACAACGGCAACGTTCTCACCAACACTTGGAACATCAAACAGTTACGTCGTTTCTTCCCTAAAAATTTGGTCTTACCGCTTTCTTTCATTCAACGTTTGCTCCTACAAGCACCCCAGCCCGAGCACTCTCGGCCTGGGTCGCTCGGGGGCTCCACGAGGGTACGATACCACCTCTCTTTTTTACTATCATATAGTAAATACTTTTCACCCGAACAAAAGGGTAGTCCATTCCTTTAAATTATCCCTACATAACTTATGTTTTAAACTCCTGACCGATCACACCCCGCCATGACCAACAGTTATGAGCAGCTGAGCCTCTTGGGCCACGCCCGGGTTCTTAAGGTTGCAGCCTACGGGTCAAGCGGGTAGGTGCGAAAAAGAAAGGATAAAAAACAAAGCTATGCTAGGGTAAAAACAAGGAACGGATGGGACAAGCTTCCCCTTATGAAGTGATTCCATCACAAAAACAAAACCGAAGTATTCATAAATACAAAAAGCTGTTCACACGGGGGCTCCCCCACGAACTTATCCTTTACATTTACTAACTGTTTCTACTCTAAAAACTATTGTGGCCGCCCGGCGGCATCAACTGACGGCGCGGATAAGGGTTGCTCGCTCGCCGACGGGACGACGTTCGGCTCGGTTAGAGGCGGGACGATGCTTGTTTACGATTCGGTCTCCACTCCATCCGCAGGCTGGATGACGTCTTCCTGGCGCACGCCTTCAGCCACGCTAGAACGGTGAGCCTCCATCACCCACTACGCAGAGACTTGCTTGGCAACCATCTAGGCGTATGGCACCAAGCTCTCCCCTAGCGCATGGATGGCATCCGTGCTCTAGCCATCGGTGTACCCTCTGCAGATGGCGGTGAAGTCTAGGTCCGGGTGGTGCATCGCCACTAAGGTCAGCACCCCCGATGTCTCATAGAACATCCCGTTGGAGATGAGTGCCCGAACCTCGTTCGGGACCTCCGCCAGCTGGATGGCGGGCGTACTAGTGTTCGGCGCCGACTCGAACACCTCGGAGACAACCACCTGGGCAACGTTGCGGATCTGGTTGAGCTCTCCCTCGAGAGCACGTCGCTCTTTGAGGGACTTGGCTAGCACCTTCGTGCTCTGACCGATCGGTGCCTTGGCTGTCTCCAGCTCCTGCTCCAGAGAAAAAACTTTTCCGCCCAGTCCTGAAAAAAAGAACGACAAGCTCAGATGTAAGGGAAAGGAAAAACCAAGACATCAACCAAAGGCGGAACAGATACATACCGAGGCAGGTGCCTTCAAGGATGGAGAGCCCTTCCTCTTGCTGGGTGACCTTCTCGAGCAGTCAGGCGTTCGACTCCTCTACCCCAAGCACCGACCCCCGGAGCACGAGCACTTCTCAATTAGCCTCCGACCGGGCCTTCCGCTCCATGTCCAGAGTCTCCAAGGACTTCTAGAGCACCGCCTCAGTCTCCACCAGGTGGACCTTCGCTGCGCCGAGTCCCCGCTCGGCAGCAGTCGCCCGTTCCACC